TGCAATAAAAACACCATGGCGCGTACTTCAAGTCCAAAAACAGTTATAGCGCAAACACCAGGTCAGCAGCAAGGACGAACGGGAACGACAGGAACCGGAAAGCCATCCAACCAATTTAATAGGGTGGATCTTTCTTTTATTCAAGATCAACGCAATCGAATAGTGCTTAAGTAACAAGAGATTTTTGCTGAGGATAATGTTGCTGAGCAGATATTCAAGCCGAGACATTTTAACGTTAGTGATCCCAGAGCAAGACGCAGTCAAGTAGATAGCGTTAAAGTTTTGATGTTTTTTTCTGGACAAGAAGATGCAGGCCGCCGGGAGGAAGTTCCTGCTACTCTTCGATAATGCACGTGTATACAAGGAGCCGGAGGAGGTGCTCTCGCACGTGGAGATTGCCAGGCTGCCGAAGAACATGCTGCAACCCATGGACCACGGTGTTATTGCGTGGATCAAGGCGAGAATCCTAAACGATAAAACCGGTGCTGATTTACTGCCATTTTTGTTAGTTGAAGAGGCCGCGCATGCTATTGATAGAGCAGACGCGATACAATGGCTGGGAGACGCGTGGGATACCATGTCCAGGGATATGCCTGTGAACTGCTGGAGATACAACAGTCGGCTCTCAGCTCGACTAATGAGTGTGGACCACATTATCAATTAACTCAATACTTTGACGCTTTGGCGCAAGTGCGATTGTCGTACGACAATGCGAATCTCGTCAAAAATGACATTATCAGGTGGCTCTCCAAGACGCCCATTACTATACATGTAACGACGGCTCTAAGCGTCTGCGATTTAATGTCAAAAACTACTCCACACCAATGATTATTGTTGAGATGGATAGGGAGTAGCACATACTCGTTGCTTGCGCGGAATGGCTGAGTTGCGGCAATTATCTTGTACTGTGACTCCACATTAACCGTTCCACAGAATGCGGGTGAAATTATTCCTGTTGTGCCATGCTCTTCTTGAAGTGTTGTCATTGCATGCAGCAGACAGTCATCATTTATCCATTCGTCATCACGAAAACGCAAGAGTGATCGTTTGAGAACCGTACCAAATGGTGTCTGCCTCGTCAGCGTCAGTACCATCTTCTGTATGGCAATAGCTGCGGCCTCTTTGTCAAGGTCAACGTACTCACGAAGTCCGGCGGGTATTGCGAGACGATTCGGTGATGTGGCTCTTATCCATTCCGCTGTGGCAACAACAGACGCAAAGATTTGAATTGTCGTGTAGTAGTCATGCATGATCCCCAGCTGCTCTTCACTGAAAACCCCGACTTTTGCCACACGAATACCAATAGGTTGATCCGAGTTTGGTAGTGACTTCTTGAACTCATCCAGCAGCCGCCGGCACTTTGCAACAAATTGATCCGTAAAAATGAACTTAATATCACTGGAGCACTCATGTGGGGCAACAACCTTGGCCAGCACTTGTTTCCTTGGACCTAGA